TATGTATATATATATATGTATATATATATATACATATATATATATATATATATATATATATATATATATATATATATATATATTCCTCACTCTATTGTAATCGGTCATCATTAAGAATACATCAATGTAGCTCATTGAACATTTAAGTTCATGGATATAGGCACATTATATATTGTGCTGAACTACATATATCATTATCTTGTTTTGTCTCGTCTCTTTTCTATCTCCAATCTTTTATATTATGAATTCCTTCAAGTTGCTTATCAAAAATTGATGATGCGGACATGCAGGTACAAAGTCACATTCAAAATTAGACGATTCGGATTTTTTTTTTTTTGTTAAAAATGTATATATATATAGATCACGAATCCGGATAGGGCTTATTATTTTCCAACGAGTCTATCATGGATGAAAAAAAATTTATATATATCACAAGAGATTTAAATCCAAGTTAGGATAGGAGGTCAATCAACAGGGAAATACTATATTATTATAAACGGCTCAGCTCAATCACATCGAAAAAATTAATATTTTTTAAAAAAGTCTTCGGTTTGGTGAAGCAAGAAATTTTTGACCTAAGTATTCTCTTTTGCCATCCGTTTGCTGAGGAGTGCGGATAAGAAAAAAATATTCGTGGCAACGAAAGTATTGATAATATGATATCACCGACTAATAATCTATAATTTATAATATCAAACAAGATAGATTTCAATAAGTCTATTAGACGGTCTCAAATACTAATATTTCTCTTAATACCATTCACATTGAATTCTTCACATTAAATTCTACCTAAAATCCAACGTTGCACTGTATCTTTAAGAATGAATGACCCATAATATGTAAATAAATAAGAAAACGCACCCCACACAAACTAATAACTTTTTGTCCATATAAGCCAATAACTACTCATTTTTTTTAATTTTGCTCATTTAAAGTTTTGTTATTAATTGGTAATACTATTTTATCAATACGGATATAGTATCACGGTTGTAAGTAAATATTGGGTATGCCTCACTGAAGAATGAATTAATGAGGACCAGAAAGAATGACAACATAAATTCTTATCATTTTAAATAATATTCCATGTGCCAGCACATTTTTGGATAAATGATAAGGGAGTGGACTTTAGGACAAACATTAAGCCAACTCCACCACATCATGAACTAAATGGAAAATCCTATCGCTAATCATATTCCTTTCGCATGTGCTAATCACATTTTTATTACCCTTTTAAGGCTACGCATCCTACGGCAGTGTGCAAATAATCATAATTCCACCAGAAGGCTTCTTGTATTGAACTTCCCGTTTATGGTTGGTTATTCACTTCCTTGAACTGCGTTGAGTGGTTTTAGTCTCTGTTTTTTGTCGTTCCCTGCTGCTGATTTTTAGACTCTGGTAGTCGTTCTTTTCACCAGCGATATCTTTGATGCATCTCCACCTAGTTCTTCAAAAAGTACCAACAAATTTTGTGTTGGCTTCAACCAAGACCTGGGAACATGATACCTGAAATTGGGAAGGACCGGTCAGATACATACATCACATATAGAAACTTTTTTATCCCAAACTCATTTTGGAGGGTCCAATGTTAATGTTATCGAGTGATTCACTAGTGGAGCATTACCATTGCTGGGTTGCTTCACCACAGCCTATTTGGCATGTTGAGGTTTTGAATATTCCCGAATACTTGCAAACACCGCAGTTACCATTTGCATAAACTGTCCAATATCTTCCTATGCTTTGTCCGTTGATCCATGCTTGACCCTTTCCCATACTTTTCATGTCCAAAGCCAATGGCTCATCTCCTTCAGGTGCATCAAAATAAGCCTGCACATCTCGAGATGGAAAATTATTTCTACTGCCTCAACCGACTTTTGTTAGAACTTATCAGTCATATTTTTGTTTTCTTACCTTATACCATTTGAGAGGCTGCTGGCCTTGGTCAACTAATGACCCTTGAATCCACTCTACAGATGAGACTCCATCTGAGGAGACCAAATTCATTGCCTCTCCTTTAAGACCAACCTGTTAAAAGGAAGATTATTGTATGTCGAAGATACATGGCCAAACAATGCAGATATAAGACTATGAACAGTTGGGTTTAACCTTGTAGGTCCATTTCTGCCAAGATAAGTCCCTTTTTCCCTGGTCAAGCCCTTTCACTACTACTGGTCCCAGAACTCCTGTTTCCCAAGTCTCAAAGTGCACTCCAATGTTCTTCAACAACAATAAATTTATTTATAGTCAGTGACGAATCAAGTCAAATGGAGTTCATCATAGAAAGCGTGGAAATAATGGTTCATCCTGTGTAAAATAAGGTGCTAAATCTGCCACCTCATGCTAATGGATCAAAAGAGCCAAAGCAATGGACAGAGAAATCGAAGTGTAATAATTTCTTTCCAATACAAAAGAGTGGGAAGAGAACCAACCGGTAATCCAACAGCAACGCTGAGTAGTGCAATCATATTTGTCCCGGGAAGCAAATTGATAGGTCCATTAAATGTGAATCCTGTTTTCTGCCAGTTACCTTGTCCGGACCCTTAAATGAAAAATTTAAGGTCCACAACATGAGCATTATTTTGTGATAGATGAGAGATGACAAGTTATAATCACAGATAAATCATAAAAGACACTCCAAATCTAGTTGATTGCTCTCAAAATATGTCGTCCAACAGAATACCTGAGAGCTGCCCATTTATAAAGACATGTAGTACATTGCCTCTTGACTGCACGGTGAGAGTAGGCTTTTGTCCACCTCGCAGAATTGATTCTGATGACTGAATGTCAACACTGGATCAGAAAGCAAGGTGCAAAAGTCAACTCTTGTATACGAGATATTTCTTATCTGAGAGTTCCTAATTCTGAACCATGAATCCAAATTTATTATTGGGTCCAATAGATTACAAAGGCACTTCATCGCATGCAGTTTTCCCTGACCACCACACCAGCAACCATCTTCCCCTTTCCTTTTTCTAGCCTCTCATCAATACCCTTAACCATTGCGAACCATAAAACACCAAATCATCATACTGTTAAGTGAAGAAACATCCATTACCTGGTGAGGAATCATTCTCCTTCAGCAACACATCAAATGAAAGCCGAGGTGCTCACATTTTTAGACAAAATATGGATATCAGTCTAAGACATTCTTGAGCTCAGAAATCAATTACCAAATTAAGTCATATCTTTTTGGTAACCCTCTGATGTTCTTTCTATAGATGTAGAGTAGGGTTGCATTATAGATGGATGATAAGAGTACAGCTATATTGAATAACACTTAAGAAAGATCAGGAATAAGCTTTCAAGGGTACTTTAGAAGTGCACTCACCTAGTCATGTACCACAAATAATCACTACTATCTCTGGTGACATTTATCTGGTCCAAGAGTCCAACAGCTGTCAATGTTGAACTATCCTCTAAAGACGAAATTTCTTCATCATATGTCTCCCATGATTGGAAATTAGAATTGGTAGGCAACATTTGCATCCCAGAAGTTTGAGAGTGAACCTTGATGATCATGGAACAATCAGATATAGCAATAAAAAGTAGCAGAAGAAAAATTACTTTCCCAAATCAGTGTGATATTGGTTCCCGTGATTGGCAAAAGTATTTGATATGGAGAGGAAAAGAGAGAAAATATTAAGGAACAATGAATAAGATATTTAACGGTCTTCTAGGCCATGTAAAGTGTTTTTTCTTCTTTTTTCCCGCTGTTTTTGGTTGTTAATTTTTTTCAGAGAATAGCGATTAGACCTACTAGAACATCACTTACTTTTGCAGTGTTAAAGACTACGTTTCTGCAATCGGGAAGAATGCTGACAGACCAAGGAGGCAAATCATAGTGCATGTTGTTGAATATCACCCTTGCATCAGAGTTACTATCGGAGTTTGAGAGAAAGGCTGCACAACTTTCCCCCACTGAGAATACATGAGCCTGGAAAAAGATGAAAATTAGATCAAGAAAATTTTTAGGATGGTTGACTTATGATGAACATGGTCAGACCAACTAGCGAATATGGCGAAAGATGGTTCAGGCTTTTCCACAAAGGCACACGTGGATGGAGGGTTGCCTTGACATGGCACCAGGGATTTCTAGGAGATTATTATTTGGTAGGTCCAAAGGAGAGGTGCTAAGTAGTTTTGGTATGGCAGAGTCTTTATGTTGCAAGTGTGACTGGTCCAGCGGGTATCCTTGGTAGTTGGTGCCACAAGTATGCAGGAACCTTGGTGTCGTAAGCGCTCCATGTCCCCCACAATTTTGTTGCTACTAGCTAGCAATTCACAATCGAGAAGGGAAGAGGATAGAAAGTGTGGGTCACATGCCTCTAAGCTAAGGTATACCGTGTGATTCTGCTCATCCCTTTGGAAACTCACTGTACAAATTCTCTCTTGCTCTCGCTCTCTGTCCCCCTAGAAATAGGGCCAGCTCTCTCCTCTCTCCTCTCTTCTTGCTTTCCTCCTACCATAGTACTCGAGTCTAACCCCTCTATTTCCCCTCAACAAGAAGAAAGACCCATAGTTTTAAGGCTCACCTGCTGGGACTTGCCTAGGGTAATAACCGAAGGATCAGAAGAAATTAATGCCGGTTCGCACAGTTTAATAGCCTTGTGGAGCTTCATCAAGTGGCTGTACTTAGGTTCCCTGATCAGACCTGAAGAAAGTGCAAATGCAGTGAGTACTCAACAATATGGATTTCCACTGAAACACAATTGTGGCCGTCACAAAATTTTGAACAATGGGTAATTTTGAGGTTTCAGAAATCATAGAACTAGAGCAGCAAGAGCTTGGGAATATCTTAGTGGCTGTATGGGGAAAACTTGAATACCAGAAGTAGCAACGAAACTGGGCTTCTGTATGAAATTTAAGGAAGTAAACTTTCAATTAGTGGGCTTGGAGAGAATTTCCTTCTTGCCAGATACAAATCAATAGAAGAAATATGCAATTCAGTAATACCTCAAACTATTCCTTGTAGTTGTATATAATATCTGGAATAACTGCATAAAGTAGTAGTTCTTGTCTGATTCGATAGAACATATATGAACTCAGCTATCTCACCATATTCATCAATTGGAGCATCATAGTCATAACTTGTCGTAATGAAAGGGCCTCCAGCAGTGCGACCAAAGTTGGTTCCTCCATGGAACTGTCGCATGAAGTAAACATCTGGACTCAGATTTGCTAAAGTAAGGTTTGGCATAGAAAATCATGAACTGAACAATGCAGGATAACTAACCATGTAATAGTTAACATATGAACCACCCAATTGTATGAATCGAGCAACTGCAAATGCTAAATCTTGAACTGGTCGCTGGTGAATTGGGCCACCAAATTCTGTGAACCTTATCATTGGGATGGAAAATAATTCAGAAAACAAGAGCAAGATGAATGAAGGGATCAAATTTATAGCTCATGCATTCGAGCTCGAAAGTTTTATACAGATACTTTACCAGCCACTCCAAGCCTCAGTCCACATTTTCGGCTTGTAAGCTTTGTTTGGAGAAAAAGCATCACAGTAAAAACCATTACATGTATTTATCTGTTGCCAAGATCAAGACGAAAAAAAAACTAAGATTTTTTCCTATACATAATTGATAAATTGAGGTTAGGAATTGTGAACAACTCAACAACCTGTTCAGATATTCAGAACCAAGAAGTTTTTAGTTTTAATAAAGAAAGGCTTGTTGCCAGCATTCAAATTGACTAGGCTGATTTGATATCTACATCATAATGAGCATGCCTTTGTCTACATAGGAAATGAAGAAACAAGAAAGGAAATTATACAAGATCTGGAGGACCAAGAGAAAAACTCACCACAGGGTCAGGCGCATCATCTTCCTTGCACATTACCCATGGGACGCCTGTATCCAGTCCAACAGCCATTTTTGCAGCCCAATTCATGTATGCCGTACCAGCAGCTCCTAGCACCTTTATTTGTGGCCCGTACTCGTTCTCAATCTACACGATCAAAATTAAAATAACAAAATATTGTTGAAGGCATCAATTCTCCTATCATTCTTTAGTTTTCATCATTGGAAAGTTTTTAAGCAAAATAATTCTTGTATATATACCATGAATCTCCGGCAAACAAAGGTTCATGAACTCATAATCTTACGTGGTCCAAAAAAGCCATACCTGTGATAAGATAATGGGGCCTCCCTGGGATTCAAATAAGTTTTCACTTTTCATCATCTGAACAATTTTCTGGGTGAACCCTTGCATTGCCGCCTTCAAAAACCATGAATGAGGATAAAAGTTACAAAATCAACATTTTCTCCTATCAAGTGAACAAGATACTTCAATAGTCAAATCTACACAGACAAGAACATGTGTAAAACAAGTTTATTCCGCAATGTTCCTAACGAGGTTCCATGTTTCTCATAGTAGTGTTTTTTGCAAGTTCATGGAAATGGGATAAGATAGAGAAGTGGATAGAATAGAAAACCTTGAAAGGCTCATTATCTGTTCTGAAACTGATACCAGGTACATATTTCAACCATACAGGAAACCCTCTGCAATAGTCAGAGAGATAATGAGACAGCAATTCAACTACTCATGCTATAAACTTCAAAAGAATATTTCGAGAATTGGAAAAACAAAATAATATCAAGCATTTAATATGATATGTAAAAATAAAGGGAGTCACACGACACAAAGATCTACTAAAAGGCACAATTCAAAAAAAAAAAAAAAGCAAGCAAGCAAAAGAAATAGTAAATACCCAAAGTTCCACTCGGCACAAACATAAGGTCCTATGCGGAGATTAACATACAGCCCAAGGCTTTGCACAGTCTTTATAAATCGTACAAGATCATATCTTCCCTCAAAATTATACTGCAAATCCCCCAAAATATAGGTCAAATGTAAGACAATGAGCGAAAAATCCGAATAATTAAATCTGAAAGTAACTGAATTGAGTTTATGCAAAGCAGTAGAGAGTAGAGAGGGAAAACGAGGATCTAGGACACTCACATTGCCAGGGGAAGGCTCGTGGACATTCCAGAACACATATGTCTCAATAACATCTAACCCTGCATTTTTTGCCGTTTGTATAAGATCTTTCCACATCTACAACATACCCAATTCATTATAGACATCAACATTGTCAGAATAATACATATCACAGATCCATTCATACATTTAGCACAAATACATAACAAGCAGAGAGACAGAGAGAAGAAGAAGAAGAAAGTACTTCAGGGGTGCTTCTGGGGTAATGTATAGAGCCAGAGAGAAGGATTCTCCGTCGCCCATCGATGATTATAGCCTTATTATCATAGGTCACACTGCAGCTTATTAGCTGAGTACCCATTAACAATGCCATACTCAACAAGATGAACACCTTAGAAACCGAATTAGTTTCCATTTTTCACTGTAGAGATCTCTCTCTCTCTCTGTGTTTATGTGTGTCAATGTTAGGAGTGAAATATGAACTAAAGACAACAAAGAATCTGTGGAGGAACAGAGTGGGGAACACTGTAATGATCTACTTAATGTTGCTTTGCAGTGACATCGTCTATATTGTATATGGCTTCTCCTTCTCCCCCATGTCGCCACTCCAGCTCACTCCGTTATTACCCACTTAAATAATGATTTTTTTGAGTTCAAAGCTGCTACTACTGCAAGAAAAGAAAGTGGAAAATGGGCTTTGACTGTAACTATGCTTCACAAATTAATGTTGTACGAGATTTGAACTTTTTCTTTTTATTTTTCGGTATGTAGACAAAGATTTAAACTTTCTACCACTAACAATTAAACAATTGTTATATAGTAAAAGTTCAAATTAGAGTTGAATAATATGTGTGGGATCTAAAGTCAAAATGATTAGCTAGGGTGCCCCACTGGCACTGTGTATCCACTTCACTGATCAGATATTTGGTTTGGGGGAGTGACTGGGGAAAGAAAAAGGAAGAATTACATTTAGGCTATTTGAAGTTTGTTATTTAATTATTTAGATTTCTTGATATTTAAAATATTATACATGACCCCTTAAGGTTTGTACGTAATACTTAGATCTCTGCAGTCAATGTACGTTAATATATCCGTCCATAAATTACACTCAAAGTCCTTAAATAAAACTTAGAGACAAGTTCTTTTTTCTTCCCAATTGCCTTAGCATTTTGTAGAATCAACAAAACTCTTAAAAACTCTAATCTAGTATTATTACGATAATCAACAAGTTAAAATTTATGTTATTTAATCTCGATTTTATCCCTGCATTATTCTGCATCAAAATTACTACATAATTTAATAAGGTTACGATTCAAACTGGGTTAAGTTATTGTTAAAAAATGAGATCAATGTTAAAATGTTCAGTCTATCTAAAAATTTTCGTCCTATATATCCTACCAAATGTAACTCTTCGATGTTATGAACTTTTACCTTCCACTTTCTCCTTTTCAAAATTTTCTCTTTATTTTTTTCCTTCTCGCAATCCAAATACACTCGGAGATTCCATTTCTTATTTGGAAAATTACGCATGGCCTCCTCAACTTTTGTGCAAATGAACTTGTACCCCAAAATAGTATTAGTCGGTGGACTTAAAAAGACTTGGGTGTTGTGGTGGAATGGTCCCTAAATTAAACAAAGTGGATTAGGATTGCATTCACGTCATTTGCCTCTTATTCATTAGAACTTGTGACGTGACAACTACTTCATTAAGGCTATGTATTGAATGCAACAAAATTTGTTGGGAAACATCCAAACCTAATTAGGGGGAGCTTAAATCCTAGAGATTTAATGGTAACCTAAAACCAGTTAAATAATAAAGATAGGGTAATAACAACATTGTTGTATTCATAAAACAATATGACTTTGTGATGTCATTTATTGACCTAATCATTTATTTTAATTAGATTGATAGTTAGTCTCAATTAATATTGAGATTTAATATTAATCTAATGACAATTATTGATTAAGTTAACAATTTAAATCAATGTATTATTATTCTTATTAAATATGTATCTCAAAAATAGTACTTGCATAGGATTTCTTTTACATGATACGTTGTTTCTATGCTCAAAAAAAATAAATCTATATGCGATTTATTTTTGGATTAGGACTACCAAATCCCATTAGCTCATTCCCACATGTCCTTGCATGAATTTTCCTATGTAATTGACTTGTTTGTCATTTGGTTGTCTTCAAAAAAAAAGTAGTCGAAGAGGAAGGTTTGGGGAAAGGGCACTACTAGTCCTAAGACCACGGGCACTTGCTGGCATACTGTGAAGTCTTAACATTAGTCCATTGCGTAGAGCAAATTTCGGATCTCATTGTAACTCCAAACTCCCACCCTAATCATGATATGTTATTGTTTGGTTATTTTATTTTTGATTGCAACTCGATACAAAATGGATTCATTGGATGATAATAAACAAATGTAAGGAAAAATTGACCCAAAATTGCGAAATTAAAAAAAAATGATANCCAAAATAGTATTAGTCGGTGGACTTAAAAAGACTTGGGTGTTGTGGTGGAATGGTCCCTAAATTAAACAAAGTGGATTAGGATTGCATTCACGTCATTTGCCTCTTATTCATTAGAACTTGTGACGTGACAACTACTTCATTAAGGCTATGTATTGAATGCAACAAAATTTGTTGGGAAACATCCAAACCTAATTAGGGGGAGCTTAAATCCTAGAGATTTAATGGTAACCTAAAACCAGTTAAATAATAAAGATAGGGTAATAACAACATTGTTGTATTCATAAAACAATATGACTTTGTGATGTCATTTATTGACCTAATCATTTATTTTAATTAGATTGATAGTTAGTCTCAATTAATATTGAGATTTAATATTAATCTAATGACAATTATTGATTAAGTTAACAATTTAAATCAATGTATTATTATTCTTATTAAATATGTATCTCAAAAATAGTACTTGCATAGGATTTCTTTTACATGATACGTTGTTTCTATGCTCAAAAAAAATAAATCTATATGCGATTTATTTTTGGATTAGGACTACCAAATCCCATTAGCTCATTCCCACATGTCCTTGCATGAATTTTCCTATGTAATTGACTTGTTTGTCATTTGGTTGTCTTCAAAAAAAAAGTAGTCGAAGAGGAAGGTTTGGGGAAAGGGCACTACTAGTCCTAAGACCACGGGCACTTGCTGGCATACTGTGAAGTCTTAACATTAGTCCATTGCGTAGAGCAAATTTCGGATCTCATTGTAACTCCAAACTCCCACCCTAATCATGATATGTTATTGTTTGGTTATTTTATTTTTGATTGCAACTCGATACAAAATGGATTCATTGGATGATAATAAACAAATGTAAGGAAAAATTGACCCAAAATCGCGAAATTAAAAAAAAATGATATGAAATTCATGTCTCGGTAGTGATTTAAGAAAAAATTTTGAACCAAAATTTAAAAAAATCGTCAAAATTTTAAAATAAGATTCATAATTTTAATATGAAAATAAAGCGGCACATCAAAAATATTTCTTAATCAACACTTCATATAGATTACTTTTTTAGCCCCATGATATGAAAGAGACGTCTAAGGTTTCATTTTTTTTTTTGGGGGGTAGATATGACATTATTCAATAAGCAGATGGAGTATGTGAACAAGATCATAATCTTTCATAACAGTGAGATTAGCAGTAAGCAACCGAAACGCCGTTCGTCCGCCGTTTGTCGTCCTCGTCCCTTTTCTTTTACAATACAGGCCAATTCATTCTCCGTCCCCTTTACGTCGGTTGATCCCGTTCATGTCTCGAGATGGCTGTCTTTAGCAGCTGTCAACCCCAACTTTGTCAAGTGATTGTTTTCAGATTATCAAATCAAAATAAGGGATTGTAAAAATTTTGCAACTACTCTCAAAAAGCATAAAGCATAAACTCTAAAAAAAATTTATGATCCTTGATGATACGCAAATTAGTTTGTACACTACATGTCAAGTAAGTAGTATAAAATACAATAATTGATAAGTAGAGGAAGAGAGAAGACAAGATTTATAGTAGTTCGATCAACATGTTCTATATCCACTTTAAATTGCAAGGATCGCCAGTAATTTATTAACTCAAGTGTGTAAGGAGAGTAAAAAGTTACAAGTTTTAAGAGAGGATGAGAGAATTATCTCAAATGAATCTGATGCCTCCCAAGTATTAGTAGGACTTACAATTTATAGTTAATCAATATAGTAATTGAACAGCTAGTCTGATGGTTATAACAGATTGGGGTGACTTAATAGTCATAACGGATTGAGGCGACTTAATAGTAATTAAACAGTTTGACGACCTCTCCTCAATGGGCAAAGCAATTATGGTGCTTGAGATTCGGTTTCTAAGGCTGTTGGATGCTCCCTTGGTGACGTAGCTCCATGATGAGCTTGTTCGGGTTGATCACATTGAGTTGGACTTGATGGATTTTTTGGAGTTGGACCTTTAACTCGGACTGGGCTTATAATATCAGTTGGGCCTTTGGGCTTGACCCATTATTTGCCTCCCAATACCTTTGTGTCTAATGAAACTTGGAAAGGAGGGCATTCAGTTTGAGTTTGAATATTCGGTTGATTGACGTAACTGGAAAAATTTTAGGAGGCCAAAACCTGTGCTTTTAGGCCTTTTTTGAACTTTTAACAGCATTAATTACATCCAAAGGCTGTAATTTTTGTTGGGATCGCCGAGAGTTTCGATTCGATATATTATGAGTCCCATTTGGAGTAACGGAGCGAAAGTTCTAGTCAAAATAGCAAGCAGGGAGCTGGGTATACGATTTTGGGCGAGCAAGTAGCTTCTGGGCGAACACACAATATCCTGGGTGAGTAGACAGCTTCTTGGGCAAGCAAGCAACTAATTTTTTTTTTTTTTAAAAAAAATAACTTTGAGAGGCCAAAATATCTGTTTCTAGGCCTTTTTTGGACTTTTTATAGCGTCTCTTATTGCCAACAGGAGTGAATTTTGTAGAGCTCATCGAGAGTTTCGATTTGATATATAATAAGTCCCATTTAGAGTTACGGTCAAAATAGCGTACAACCCTTTTTAAATCTGAATTTTTTGAAAAATCCTTTTGATCGACAATTTCCTCCTTTTTAGTTGGCTCCTCTTACATGTGGAACTCCATTAGCTATATAAACTCCTTCTTTCATTCTTTTTTTTGCATTCTTGAAGAGCCCTAGGTTGTAATTTGGGACTTTTGCCTCTTTAAAAATCCTAGGTTATAAATAGAAGCTTCCTTATTCACTTTTGCCCATTTCATTTATCTTGGGATTGAACTCCTTGAAACTCTTGAGAGCCCAAACTCCATACATTCCATAGAAACTTGAGTGAGTGAAGGAAAGTGCTTTTCTTGAAATTCTTTGGGGACCCAAGGCTTGACAATCTTAAGTTTAAGTATTTAGAGGCCATGTTGATTAAGGAAAGTGGAATGCAAGTACCCACTGTTATCGAAAAAGGAGAAGCCATCATTGATCAACGAGGGAGCTTAAGAGAGGGAGGCATCGGCACTGGAGTGGAGATGCCATTGGGCCCCTACTATTGCTATTGTTCACACGTTGAGGGGGCTGCCTAGTGTAATTATCCATACTCTATTGATTGGAGGCCATGGTGGAGGAGATTTGAGCGCCTAAAACACTAATTTGGAGTAGAATAGGCACGATCTGGGTGCTATCTGGGCTGCTGGGGCACGCTGCCTATGTAGTGGAGCAGTGAGGTGAGTTGGGCTAGCAAAGAGAGGAAAAACGGGTTGTTTTAGGCGAGCCTGATGAGGCATCTCAGGCTATTTTGGGGGCCACTTTAGGCACTGAACTGGGCAGCAATCTGGGCGCCACTTTGGGTGCTAAATGGGGCAGTCTGGATGCCACATTAGGCGTTGAACTGGGTAGCAGTCCGGGCGCCACCTTGGGCGCTAAACAGGGTAGTCTGGGTGCTAGTTTAGGCGCTGAACTGAGCCATCAAGCGCCAAAAGGCAAGGGTCCAGGTAAGCAAAGAAGAGCAAGAGGGATGACGAGCTTGGATGGGGAGGAGTTGGGCACCCTTGGCCAGGCGTTCCGAGGCCTGGGCCGCCCAGGCACTGGGCACTGAGTCTAGGAAGGTTCAGGCTCCTGGTGTTGGGGTCGCAGGTACTCGGGCACTCGCCGAGGTAGGTGGGATGCGCAACTTTGGTGGTGGTAAGTTTGGGAAGGAACTGACTCTTTCATTTGGAATTTCCCTAAATTAGTCTCTTCAGGGCCTCTCCAATAGTGGCTCAAGCAATTCTTCACGCCCCCCCTACGCAACAAAAAGCGCAAAGGCAAGGTAGCTCTTGATGATGATAGGTCCAAAGTAAGTCTTCTTTATTGTTTGCTCAACATTGATGATGATATTCTACGGATTGTTTCTACTTATCACATTCCCCCAACGGTTCTATGTCGTCGAGCTGAGATGGGTGCGCCCTTCCTCTGATTACTCTTCTGGAAACATTGTCATCTATGAGGAGATGTTTGAGGTTATGCTCTGGTTCCCCATGTCTCCTTCTATTTATCGTATTCTCCATTATTTTTCACTCACCCCGGGGCGATTGTCACCCAATGGTTGGAGGATTTTACTAAACTTTTTGGTGTTGTGGAAGAAGATGCACCATGAGGATGCCTCTTCGGTGAAGTTTCATGAAACTTATACTTTGAGCGAGACTCTTGCTCCCAATCGAGGTTGGTATTATTTTACCACGAGAGACAAGCTAATCACTGGACTGCGGTCCAACTGTTATAATTGGAAATCTTATTTTATATTTGCTGGCAGAGAGTGGGCTGTAGAGGCCGATAGGGCTTTGATACCAAGAGGATAGGGTGCCCCTAAGAAGCATTGTATGCCTTACACTTGCTTTCTTATTTGCTCTTCTTTTTTTTTAACTCATCATTCCTCTTGCAGATTCTCTTGTGCTCTCCAAGGACCAAGAGTGGAATTTGCTGGCGGTGAGGGTTTATTCTAAAAAATATTTTGGAGTCCTTATGTACAAAGATGGTGGGGTCAAGAGTTCCTTTGGGGTTCGTGCTAAGGCTGCTGCTCCCTCCCCCAAGTCCGATGGCTCCTCTTTGAAGAGGAAGGGTGAGTTGATTCTTTTGTATCTTCTTTTTTTATTTGGTGTTTTTTTATCTAAGTAACACTTTATTTTTCTTGCAGCAGTAGATAGGGAGGTGATTGGGTACATAATATTAGACCCTTGTGGTCAATGTGCGTTAGTATATCCGTTAGTAAATTACACTCAAAGTCCTTAAATAAAACTTAGAGACGAGTTCTTTTTTCTTCCCAATTGCCTTAGCATTTTGTGGAATCAACAAAACTCTTAAAAACTCTAATCTAGTATTATTACGATAATCAACAAGTTAAAATTTATGTTATTTAATCTCGATTTTGTACCTGCACTATCCTGCATCAAAATTACTACTTAATTTCACAAGTTTACGATTCAAACTGGTTTAAGTTATTTTTTAAAAAAGAGATCAATGTTAAAATGTTCAGTCTATCTAAAAATTTTCGTCCTATATATCCTACCAAATGTAACTCTTCGATGTTATGAACTTTTACCTTCCACTTTCTCCTTTTCAAAATTTTCTCTTTATTTTTTTCCTTCTCGCAATCCAAATACACTCGGAGATTCCATTTCTTATTTGGAAAATTACGCATGGCCTCCTCAACTTTTGTGCAAATGAACTTGTACCCTAAAATAGTATTAGTCGGTGGACTTAAAAAGGCTTGGGTGTTGTGGTGGAATGGTCCATAAATTAAACAAAGTGGATTAGGATTGCAGTCACGTCATTTGCCTCTTATTCATTAGAACTTGTGACGTGATAACTACTTCATTAAGGCTATGTATTGAAAGCAACAAAATTTGTTGGGAAACATCCAAACCTAATTAGGGGGAGCTTAAATCCTAGAGATTTAATGGCAATCTAAGACCAGTTAAATAATAAAGACAAGGTAATAACGACATTGTTGTATTCTTAAATCAATAGTATGATTTATATATGATTTTGCGATGTTATTTATTGACCTAATCATTTATTTTAATTAGATTGATAATCAGTCTCAACTAAAATTGAGATTTAATATTAATCTAATGACAATTATTGATTAAGTTAACAATTTAAATCAAAGTACTATTATTCTTATTAAATATGTATCTCAAAAATAGTACTTGCAGGGAATTTCTTTGACATGATACGATATTTCTATGCTCAAAAAAATAAATCTATATGCGATTCATTTTTTGGATTAGGACTACCAAATCCCATTAGCTCGTTCCCAAATGTCATTGTATGAATTTTTCATGCATTTTAAATATTATTTTTTCGAATATAGAATGGTGAATCTAGTTCAATTTTTGAGAAAGAGGATGAAAACTCTTAAGTAATTTCAAACAACCGATTTATATTAACATGTTTTTTTCTATCAAATCTTGTAATAAAATGTGATTGAATAATACTACTTTAACTGAATTTGGAGATCTAATTAATTCTAAGTATTAAATTAATTGAGTCACAATGTGCAATAGAATAAACTTCTGATCTAACATATCATTTTCCTATGTAATTGACTTGTTTGTCATTTGGTTGTCTTCAAAAAAACAATAGTCGAAGAGGAAGGTTTGGGGAAAGGGCACTACTAGTCCTAAGACCACGGGCACTTGCTGGCATACTGTGAAGTCTTAACATTAGTCCATTGCGTAGAGCAAATTTCGGATCTCATTGTAACTCCAAACTCCCACCCTAATCATGATATGTTATTGTTTGGTTATTTTATTTTTGATTGCAACTCGATACAAAATGGATTCATTGGATGATAATAAACAAATGTAAGGAAAAATTGACCCAAAATCGCAAAATTAAAAAAAAAATGATATGAAATTCATGTCTCGGTAGTGATTTAAGAAAAAATTTTGAACCAAAATTTAAAAAAATCGTCAAAATTTTAAAATAAGATTCATAATTTTAATATGAAAATAAAGCGGCACATCAAAAATATTTCTTAATCAACACTTCATATAGATTACTTTTTTAGCCCCATGATATGAAAGAGACGTCTAAGGTTTCATTTTTTTTTTTGGGGGGTAGATATGACATTATTCAATAAGCAGATGGAGTATGTGAACAAGATCATAATCTTTCATAACAGTGAGATTAGCAGTAAGCAACCGAAACGCCGTTCGTCCGCCGTTTGTCGTCCTCGTCCCTTTTCTTTTACAATACAGGCCAATTCATTTGGTCTTTCCCTAAATCTCCGTCCCGTTTGCGTCGGTTGATCCCGTTCATGTCTCGAGATGGCTGTCTTTAGCAGCTGTCAACCTCCACTTTGTCAAGTGATTTTTTTCAGATTTTCGAATCAAAATAAAGGATTGTAAAAATTCTGCGACAACTCTTAAAAAACATAAAGCATAAAGCATAAACTTTCAAAAAGTTTATGACCCCTTCACCCAACCCCTCATGTGTGATCCAGCAACATGTAGTGCAGTGTGGCTTTTGGGGCTTATTAATGTTAGGCTGATCAAATTTTGAGATTAAATTTAGAGTTCAAATGACAAGACAGTATATTATTTGGAGAAGTTTTTATTGGGACTCAAATGACATGTTACTAAATAAAAAAATTTACGTCAACTGTCATGTTATTTGAACTCTAAATTTGGTCATAAATCTCAATTGTCAAATTATTGCCAACAATGGTAGGCCAGATCATGTTGCATTATCCAAGAGATCGAAAAGGTGAAGAATTTATGGGGTCGCCCTTGTAAGTTTGTGACTTTCATGGAAAACATATACTATAATAGACTCTTCATTTTATTTTGGGAAAAACAAAAACATAAAAACATTCTAGGATTTTGATTGACTATTTTTATTGTCGGTGCTTGAACTACAATTCAAAAAAAAAAAAAAAAAGTCGGTGCATTACGTAAAATTTATGAGAATAACATGTCCCATTTTTATGAGTTGATTAAATGAGTGACTAAAAGTCAAAACACAGGAAAGGAAATGAAAGGTCATATCTACTTACCGTGAAAAAAAAATCCATTTTTTTTCTAAATTATCTCGTCAATTATTCCAATCACCTAGAGGAATATGTGTACTTTAATGATTTTTCATACTGCGTCCAAACACAAAATAAGTTTTATACATATGACCAATTGTCTAACCCCAAGCTTTATCATTGATGAACAATTTGTCATCTGCAAATAATCTTCTTTCCCATGCATTTCTTTGGTCTTTCTGGTATACCATTTTCTATTCTAAATTATCCAGATATTTATGCAGAATGGACATGGTTGAGATTATTCTTTTCCATGCATTTTTTCGGTCTTTCAGGTATACCATTTTCCATTCTAGATTATCCAAATATTTATACAGAATGAACACGGTTGAGATTCTTGTACGTTTTGAATAAATCAACACCGAAAATAATCCAAGTTAATGGTGGACTCAAGGTGTAGTAGAGAAATAAAACTAGGACACCCCGTTTAGTGAATCTTTTGTGGAAAGATCAAAGACCACCTAATCTCCCCTTCATTTTTTAAAGTTGCTCCCTTTTTGATGGATTAAATAGTCTTGGACTCACCTAATCAATTGGGAACAACTTTAAACCCGAAAATTTGGACTGTTTAATTACTTGTGAATTCAGGGGTATAAGAAGAGGGACACTGTTTATTGCTCAAACCGTAGCTATTCGTGCAGCAATAGTGGATCAAGGTATGCAACGAGCAGAAGTCATGATAAAAGGCCCCTGTCTCGGAAGAGATGCAGCATCAATCATTTACAACCATTGATGAAGGATTATTCGAAAAATTAAGGATTAGTAATCATTTTTAAAAATCGAATGAATTCGGTCTTATACATACGCGAGGAAGGTAATTAAAAAAGAAAGAAGAACTCATATTCTTTATTTTATCACTTAAGAGCCGTGTGAGATGAAAGTCTCATGCACGGTTTTGAATGAGAGAAAGAAGTGTATGCTCATTACTAAACTTCTCGAAGCAGATTCCAGTAGCAATAATTTTGAGGGGTCTATCGTCTTTTTTTCGTTATCATTTTTCTTTCTCATCTCCATTCTCATAGTCC